AACAAGTTCGTGGCACATACAGTCACCCAGTGCGTACTAGAAGGGGGTGGGGGTAAGAAATAGAAATTGGGTTCCAGGTTGCTGATACTGGTAGTCATTTATCTATTTATTATTGTACAGGCGAAAAAGATTAGATTAGAACGGTATTTTATTTCTTACTGCTGACAGGCCCCTTTATTGCTTTTGCTTTAATTAGTCAACGAAAACTTTGAATAAGTAATAGGTATATTTTTGGGCAAAAAACCAATTTCGACAAAAAATTCAAAGGGCTGTAACTTTTGATCTAGTAGTCCGATCTTGGAACTGTTTGGAATTATGGATTCTACAGGCCACATTCTAGAAGAAAATATTTTTTTCCGGTCGATCTGAGACAATTTTTTTTTCTGGGCAAAAAAAAAGGCAGTTATTACCTTCCTTTTTTACCAAAAATCGACTGCACCAAAATTTCTCGGGAAAAAACTTTTTCTTATTAATTTGGGTGCGTAGAATCCAAAACGAGTCGTACTTTTTCGATTAGACGTCTCCATCAAAAGTTATGGGCAAAAAACCAATTTCGACAAAAAATTCAAAGGGCTGTAACTTTTGATCTAGTAGTCCGATCTTGGAACTGTTTGAAATTATGGATTCTACAGACCACATTCTATAAGAAAATATTTTTTTTCCGGTCGATCTGAGACAATTTTTTTTCTGGGCAAAAAAAAGGCAGTTATTACCTTCCTTTTTTCCCAAAAATCGACTGCACCAAAATTTCTCGGGAAAAAACTTTTTCCTATTAATTTGGGTGCGTAGAATCCAAAACGATTCGTACTTTTTCGATTAGACGTCTCAATCAAAAGTTATGGGCAAAAAAAGTTAATCTTAGTTCTCCATATAGTTCCTTGATTCTGCCCTTTAACTCCTTGTCTATTTTCTTATCTTCCATAATTTTTCCCTTTCCACTTTGCCAAACGCTGCTTTTTAAATCTATGAAAAATCCAAACACCTTTCCCCCTTTTTTCCAGTTCCTTTTCCACCAATCTATGTAATATATATACACAGTCCATCTTTCCCCTGCCTTTTCTGAAGTCCATTTTCGCCATAGTCTCGCCTCTTGAAAATCGACACCACTACCCCTTCCCCTTCCTTCTATTCTTCGGGAAAACCCCCTCCATAACTTGTTTACTAGATTCCGGATCCTTTCCTTGACCCTATCTGTGTCGAAAATCCAAGCATCATTTTCTCATCTCCTTCAGCTTCCTCTCTTCTCACCTCTTTCATAACCTTTTTCTCCTGTTTTCATTGTAGTACCTTGATCAAATGTTAATTTTCATTCCTGTAATTGTATTTTCCGCCCACTTGTTCTATTTCTCTGTTTTCCTCCTCGTTTTCCTCTGTTTATCAACTTCCAAAAATCCTCTGTTTTTTTTATTTCCCAGATTTGCTCTTGGCATTCTTTCGGTTTCTCTATCTTTTTTTCTTTACCTTTTTGTTGTACCTTTTCCTTGTTTTCACCAAAATAAGGCGAAATACATCGTGCAACCTGCACTCCATCACTCTGTATTCTGCAACGATGTTTTCTGCTGCTGAATCGTACTTAATTTTGCTAAATTACCAAGGGAGTATTCGAAGCAGAAAACTACGTTGATTAAATAAAGGAATTTACTCTTGATTTAAAAATATAATTTCGGCGCATTTGACGGTAGTTAATTCATATTTTTTTTATTTTTAGATGTTCATAGATAAAGAGTGTATGTGTACTTTGGAGATAGCACATCGCTTACATATAATCTAATTATGTAGTTCCAAATATTTTTTCTTTTCCATGAAAATACGTGAATAGAGTACAGGAACCAAATAGATAGGAACCTGTTTGATTGAGAACGGAATTAGTTACGTACGTAATGAGAGGCATGTTGTTCATTTTTGGTTGTAAAAATGCAGAGGCGAGTAAAAATATTTGTTGCAAATGATCATGTTGTACACCATTCGGCCGAGTTAAAGTTTGTTACCCTATTTGGCAAATTTGAGTAGATAAATTTAGCCAACTTTGCAAACACATCGTCATTACTTCAATATTTACGGTTGTACATTACACTACCATCCGTGCTTCCAGAGCTCCAGCTTCTCTAGCAAAGTAAGTTTTCACTCACACCTCGTGCTTCTGTCGTCATAATCCTGTTAATTCCCTCTTACGGAGTTAAAGATCAACTGTCGTGCCTTCAGAAGCAAAAATTTCGTTCAGCTGCCAATTGTCTTAAATCCTGCACGATGCATTTTACATATTTATATTGTGTCATTAATAACAAAGACCCATACAATTTGAAATCTGGGATCCTTTTATTGTTTCTTAATTCCAAAAAAACGAATTATAATATAGAAACCATTAAATAGCCTCTAATTTTCATAATTGTACGTTCAGTTAACATTAACCTTTTCATTGCGGTCATTCGAAAGTTGCGTAAATTAATATTTATCTCGTCCAAAAGCATGATTACCTTCTGTAGCAATTTTGCTAAAGTTATTATGGGTGTTACGGTAAAACCCTGATAGTATAATCGCATGGTTCAAGCTTCATTTTTATTATTATTTTACTAGGTTCAGAGCCCGTTTCTCTCAATAAAGGACAGGCGTCTGTTTAGCTTCAGTTGCTTCACTCTCCACGGTTTCAGATAGCTGTGGCCAAGGAGCTGATGTATTTCTCTGATCAAGGTATCACAGTGGCAGACCACATGCTCGGTAGTTTCATTTGCCTCACCACAGAACCTGCCCATGGGCTCTTCCAGAAGCCCAATGCCATGCAGGTGATAGTTGACCATCCAGTGCCCCATAAGGACACTGGTGATTTTCGTAATCTGGCTTCTATTCAGTTTTAGAAGCTTAGAAGACTCAGATTTGCCAAGGGGCCTTGTTGAGTCCGGTTTCTTGTTGCCACTGAGCCCGGAATTGAGTGGTCATCCAGTCTATAATCCTGGCTATGATAATGGAGGGAGCAATTCCTAGGGTAGGCTTGTCCCGACGAAGACCCAATCACTGCCTTCATGAACCAGCTCGTCCGCCCTTTCGTTGCCACCTATTCCGCAGTTCGTCTGCGATCAAGTGCCATAGCTGATCGACACCTGGGTGCTGACCAGGGATGGCAGATATTTATCATGGTATATATCAGTGGTATATATCCACGATATATATCATGATATATATTGGTTGATATATATCATGATAAATATCAGTGAAAATACGTTGCATGGTGGCAGACGCATGAGTCATCCTGTGGCAATTCGCCAATTCAGCGCGATACGTTTACTGTCCAAGTGAGGTTTAATCTTTAGTGCGTTTTTTTGGTGTAGTTCATGTTTATCGCGTAAAATATGCCGAAATGTAAGCAACCTGTGTGGATCAACATTAAGTGCCAGTCAAAAGAAGGCAACATAGGAAAATGGGCTATATGTAAATCCAATTCAAATCAAGCATTAAATACGAGTATTAGCGTTATTCGAATAAATATCGAATATATATCAAATATCGGATATATATCCAACGATTTGATATTTATATAAATATCATGCTATTTGCCAACCCTGGTGCTGACAAGGCTCTCAGCGCCACCAGACTATCACTGCATATGCTTATCATGGTAACCTCTACGGAGGTTCTACTGTGCACAGGTCATGATGACTAACATCTCTGTCTGAAACACACAGTGCTATACTCACGAAGGGAGAAGCTGACGTCAGCTCTCGGTCGATTACCATAATATACCCATGCCCATTCCCCTTTCTGTTAGTGACCTGTTTGTAAATTACACGAACGAGCTGCTCAGGTTTGAGGAACGGACAATCCGAGTTCAGTCACTGCTCCCTGTCCGGGAGAATGACTGTATCACTCTTTAGTCTTAGTGAGACAGCCCGGATCACCGTTCTTGCGAGGAGGAGATTGGATCTGAGGGTTTCCTCCCACATCCGCCCGTGTCCAGGCTGCCTCGATCCTCCCACTCGTCCCCTTCCACTACTTCGGATCTATGGAGGACACTACCACTCTGCAGAAGAAGGACCTCCAATAGGCTCGTCCTGAAACCAGGATTTTGCCTTCAAGATGGTGACTGGTCATCCAGGAGTCTGTATAATGCAGCCATCACCTTGGTCAACCGCTGCGGAGTTGTTCTGAAATCTTTGATTTTTTCGCTATCGTACCAAGAGTTGCTGTAGAAATTTGACGAAAATTATAGTTTGGATTTCATTACATTCATGAGAGATTTATAGAATTGAAGAAACATTTCCTAATTTGCAGTGCCAGAAGGCCATATAAATATGGTTAAGCTATTGATAAATTAAATAAGACGCAAATAGTAAGTAGGTAGTATCTATGTACGGTGAAAATTAGTGAAAGTCTCTGAATTACGCATAAGCAATATCCTTTATTGAACACTAGCTTAGCTAATATGGACTAACCATAGTAGGTAAAACAAACATTAAAAAATAGTGTTTTACTATTGTTATTAATTGTTCAATAAAAAAGTTCAAATACTTCCTAAATGTTAATAAACATTATGTCTGGAAATACCGTAAAAATTTTGAGCGTTTAAATTGTGTGCAAATTATTGGTAAATAATGTCTTTACTCGTCTGGTCTGGTACAAAATAATCAACAATTAAGCAATAAGTAGAGTTCGCACAATAAATTGTGTACGATGCAAATTTATGCAACATTTCAGAACTGTTGTAAGTGTACTAGATACTTAATTATGATTGATGCCAAATATTCATATTTAAAAATTTAAGAACATAATGTGTACTTGTTATATAAACACCAACGTGCAAATTAAGTGCAAATAAGTGACCAAAATATAAACTAAATCATTGCCCAAAGTTAATCAAATTATTGACTATATACCTAAATTTGCATTATACTGCACAATGTTATTAAGAGTGCAAATTGACATGGAACTTCAAAACTCATCTTTTGAGTTTAGAATAATTAGAGCAAGCAAATGTAATTATTTTTCTGATTGGTTTTCTTTTTGTGCAGATCCGGTGTCCAGTAATCTAGTGCGTATCCGAGGATCGGCCTTAGGAAAATCAGCTCCTTCACTATCAGCTACGATGGTAAGCGTAATATTAACAGATCCGATACTAATTCCTTTTATTAGAAGGATATAAGCATCGGACGACGTAATAGTCGGCCTGCTGCAGTTCATCGTCTCAGTTTTGTGTCAAATACTTCACCTACTTTACCTCGCTCACACTCTCCAAATTGCGGAAGTCCTATTGATAGTCCGCGAACGCACGCTAGTTTCCTAAACTTTGGATTTGCACCTATCAAACGGTAATTTCCAGATGGAGAATGTATTTTTGTTCTGAAACCAGTTTTAGAATTGCCGGAAGTAGAGGGGACGGACGAAGATGGTCGGTTGCTTCTTTACCGTCCTCCGGATACGGAACCACACCTGGAAGTTCGAACATGTCGGCAAGTACCTTGTGGATAATTCTAGCTTTTTATAATGGGTTATTAACAATTTCAGTCCAAATGTTCCAGTCAGGAACGATTACACCAACTTCCTCACGCTCCAACATCTGATGACATGCGAATGTTAACTCACCACTTTTCAAGCAACGAGAGTAATGCTTCGATTCCGTGTGGAAGCTGTGATGAAAATCTAATTAGTATGAGATCTCCTTTGCATAGACCACGTTCACGTAGCCTTAGGTAAATTTCGGAACCTGACCTTGACGTGCTTGGCATCGATTTGATTACAGTAGTCCCAGTCGCTCACCCGTCGTAGATAATGAAATTTCGATGATGAATACTTTATACAAGGAACGCTTTCCGAAGGCGACCAGACAGATGGAGGATCGGCTCTCAAACTTCATTGAGGAAAATCGAAGTTTCGGAGTAGGGGAAACCTGTGATTCCTTACCGATCGTACGGTTTGTCCACCACCAAGTCTTGGAAATGGCGCGCGATTGCTTGCACAAATCTCAGGCGAAATTGATTACTAGTCGTTATTTTTATGAAATGTCGGAGAATTTGGAAAGACTATTGCAAGAGGTAAGTGCACACGTTTGAGACTACAATTCCATGCGTATTGTTTTACTAACATGAGGACGATTACGTTTCTTTCAAAATAACCCGAGACAGCTTCGTTTATTCTTCATTTAAGCAAAAACCTCTTCCTCTAACAAATTCAACATCGTTATTAAGCCCACGACACCCGAAATTCCGCTACGTCGCCAGAACTGGTCAAACACCTGCATGGCTTATCTCGCACGTGACATTGTTTGTCGAAAAACCAATTAATTCGTGTCCGATAACAATTTTTATCAAACTTTACTCACATAAAAATTTCGATCCAATGTTATCCGTTTTAAATTTCTCACACAAACTAAATATAACAAATGGACTTAAATTAATTAAACAATTACCGACTAAATTTACACAAAAAAATTAACATTAAAATGATAATTTTTCCAATTCTCATGAAATGTCTTGTGTTATGTTACATACGGGCGGTCCTGACTGCTATTTCGGATATTCAGACCGAAATTACTTTTAACAACACATATTTTTAAATTGTTTTTGCATGTCGAGGGCTATGGGGCAGTGAATCTTGATGTGTTTTTACCACTATCAGCAAGAGTTACCCTTATCCAATGACTGAGGTTTTGAGAAGAAGCAGGTTATGTGGTGACTTTAGTCCATTTCGTATAGTGCAAAATGGTACACACAGAAGTGTATCCCTAAAAAAGGGCGAAGACAAATTTGATTGTAAACTTCCTACACAAAGTCTACCTATATTCCGCGCGATTGGATACCTATTCCTTAGAAGTCATAGACATAATCCATGTCTTTAGTTTAGACAATTTGTTGTTGACTCACTGAAGATCATCGTGTTTGTTGTCTAAACTCATTGTCACAGAATATCAAATTTTAAGAGGCTTCTATACCAGCGCAAAAACCCTATGTAAAAGTGTTTCGCGCCGTGTCTGTTTATTCGTAAAGAAAATGTAATAATGGTAAAAGTGAATGATTATTATGTTTATAAAGGTGTAATCTAGGATTGTATCGAATTGTATTTTAAATAGTAACTTCAAATCATAAGATACAGAGCGATAAAGAATTGCTATTTTAGACAATATTCAAAGGGGTGTAGATCTTAAACAAAAAAAAAGGTAGCAAAACAAATTCGATACAATCCTAGCTTTAACCTTCCTTTGGTAAAATCCATTCACAGTAACTGAAAAAAGTTTATTATGTACCAGTAAACAGACACGGCCCGGGACGCTGCAACTGTAAAATTCTAGCAAAATTTTATTAGGAAAGTGCTCTGCCACGTCTTGCGGAATTCAAACTTAAGTTACGTGTTACCGCCCATTTGATAAAAGGAGGAGTTCATTCTTATCTTTCCAACATAATTTTAAATCTACCGGAGTTCTTAGCAAAATAATTTTCTTTGAGTTTTAACATGAACCCTTTAGGATAGGAAAGTAGGCACTGTAGAAGCTTACTAATACGTACAACAATGGAAGTACGACATCTCCTATCTCTGTGAATAGACGCTATAATGCAACAAAATATTATCCCCGATTTTCCGTCTGTCTGTCCGTTCATTTGTCTGTCTACGCACAGTAAAGCCTTGCTCTTAGATCACCTATTGATTGCAGGTTGTCGCTGTACCGTTGCTTAGGCTGCGTTTAGTTGTGCGAAGTAGGTACCAACAACCATTTGTGAAATTAAAGTTTTGGGTGCTACCTCAATCAATTTTGTGAAATATTGCCATTTCCGAAGTGACAGGTTGCACAATCATTTTACTTGCGAATCGGTCGAGTCGCCGTGGTAAAAAAATCTACTCAATTGAAAACAAATTGACTAAAATGAAATTAAAAAAATAAAATTTGGAATGTAAGAAAAGATTTTCTTCAGTCACAGAGATTGTACATAGATACATTTAAATTTAAACCATTTCCTAAATTAAGTTGGCTCACACAATTTGAAATTTAAAACATTAAAAAATCTAAGTGCAATATCTACCTAAATTTCTTTAAAACAGTAGTTCTGATCAAATATGTATTTAGGTTTTGAAATTTCTCGTCTCCTCAATGTTGCCCAAGGTAAAAACCCCTTTAATTCTTATAGTAGGACTTAGTGTTTTATTTTAGGATGTTTTGTATCTATATAGTGCCAATTCCTCTCTTCTTCCTTTTGGGGGTTTTCGATTGATGTTCAAATGTTCACAAATTATTGCAATTCATACATTGCTTTGCAAAAAAGTAAGTTATGTAATTTTTTTCAGTCTTCTTCCTGATTACATTTATATGTATCACAACCTACACTTTTTTATATGATTATATATTATATTAGATATTTTTCAAAATTTTGAAATGACATGCTTCTACCGCTAGAGATTTTTATCGAATAAACAAAACAAAACCTCGCTAAATCCTACCTACCATTTAAAAACCGTAAAAAATAAGGTTTTTATTTTTGGTTCATGGCTAAAATTTAAAATATCATAGGTTGTCAATGTAATCAGAAAAAAGAATGAAAAACAAATGCTATTAAGATATACAGGATGTTGCATTCAAAAAATGCCATCTTTGGGACAAATCTCAGAAACGGTGCCCCAAAAATGTTCTGTAGCTAGCACAGATACCACCCGCACTCCTGTACATGTGCGATTCTGCCCTTTTATGTATAAGAATATGGGTACCCAATTTGGATCCAGTCGGTTCAGCTGTTTAGCCGGAAATGAGAATTTGACACACTTGCGCATGCGGGATTCTGTCCAAAAGATTTTCTGTTCTTCCTTTTATGTTTATGAATAGGTGTACGGCAGGCATGTCAAACTCATTTATCATCAAGGGCCATTATAAAGCTTCCACTTATAGCTGCGGACATCACAAAAAGTCTACATAAAAAAATTTTGATTTTTTATTATTAACAAAAAAGTGGGTATACAAAATAATACAAAAAACGAAAAATGCAAATAATCATAAAATCATTAGTACGCACTCAAGAAAATGTACCGTGTGTCCTATGTTGGTTAAGACTGCAGTGATTTTCAGCTGCTTTTAAAGATAAGAGACTTGTGGTTTTCGCGACCCTGTGCCACTTTTTTGTGAAACAATACATACCACATACAGAATCAATCCAACTACGTTTGTTTCTGAGGTCTGAGATATGGGGTGAATGTGAAAAATTGGACTTTTTGTGAGGTTGTCATATCTGACTACCCATGTAAGATAGAAAAAAAGTAAAAACTGCCTATCTTAGGTATTTTTACGTAGAAACCAGTGACGTAGTAAAAAAAATTTGGACAACAGCTTCTGAGATTTGACCCAAATGTGATATTTTTTAAATGCAACACCTTGTATTGTATGTTAACATCAACTTTGTAGCATTCTTTTTCGTGATTACATTAATGTATCATTCTATATTTATTTACCATTTTTCAAAATTTTGATATGACGTACCATCAGCCATTTTTGTTGATTGGCATCGACCGCTGTAGTTACAATGGAGACAATAAACAAAACAAAATCTCCATGAATCCATGGCCTACTATTTAAAGAAGTAAAAATAAGGTTTTTATTGTTTCATCGCTAAAATTAAAAAAAAAAATAGTAAATGTAATCAGGAAAAGGAATGATAAGAAATTGACGTTAAGATATGCATAGTGTTGCATTTACTAAATATCAACTTTGGGTCAAATCTCAGAAACTTTTCGTTTTAACCTTGTATCGCAGAATCTCACGCAGCTAGATTGGCTCTGTTTGTGGTATTATACATTCCACAAAACCGCAAATCTATCTTTAGAAACAGCTGAGATACACTGCAGTCTCAACCAAAATATAGGACACACGGTAGCTACAATTTAATTTTATAATTTACAAAAATCGTGATGGGGCGCAGGTTTCAGAACGGGGGGCCGCATGTGGCCCGCGGCTCGCGTGTTTGACATGCCTGGTGTATGGTGTACCAAATTTGGTTCCAATCGGTTCAGGCGTCCATGAACGTACAGACAGACCGACAGACCGACATAATCGAGATTTTCTTTGAATCGGATTCCTGGTGCTTCAAAACGTGTATTTTCGTCAAAAGTGGGGGATCATTTTTTACCCCAATGCCCTTACACGTGCGGGTGGTAAAAACAGCAATCAGTTTGGTCANGAGACAATAAACAAAACAAAATCTCCATGAATCCATGGCCTACTATTTAAAGAAGTAAAAATAAGGTTTTTATTGTTTCATCGCTAAAATTAAAAAAAAATAGATTGTGATACATCAATGTAATCAGGAAAAGGAATGATAAGAAATTGACGTTAAGATATACATAGTGTTGCATTTACTAAATACCAACTTTGGGTCAAATCTCAGAAACTTTTCGTTTTAACCTTGTATCTCAGAATCTAACGCGGCTAGATTGGCTCTGTTTGTGGTATTATACATTCCACAAAACCGCAAATCTTTAAAAACAGCTGAGATCAACCAAAAGATAGGACACACGGTAGGTACAATTAAATTTTATAATTTACAAAAATCGTGATGGGCCGCAGGTTTCAGAACGGGGGACCGCATGTGGCCCGCGGCTCGCGTGTTTGACATGCCTGGTGTATGGTGTACCAAATTTGGTTCCAATCGGTTCAGGCGTCCATGAGCGTACAGACGGACCAACAGACCGACATAATCGAGATTTTCTTTGAATCGGATTCCTGGTGCTTCAAAACGTGTATTTTCGTCAAAAGTGGGGGATCATTTTTTACCCCAATGCCCTTACACGTGCGGGTGGTAAAAACAGAAATCAGTTTGGTCAGTATTACCATTGAATAATAAATTCAGAGTTATTATTCAATGGTATTACGATTTACGAAAGTTACGTAAGTAACAAACCAATTAATTGTTTATCGACCTGACGCGCCGACACGACACCCCTTCACTACACGAGGAAAATTAGTCTTAGTACTCCTAGATCAGTTTGGCATTTTTGCTTACGGCGCGGCGCGGGCGCTTTGTGCTACATCGAAATTTTGTTACCTCTTTCATACGTGGCCTCAGCTCACCCTTTCTACAGTCACCCATTGTTCTAGTCAAGGAAAATGCGTCTCCGTGAATAGGTATACTAGACCGATTAATTGGCGTTGATTGACGGATTTCAATCGATGCTGATTATAGCAACAACACCTAAAAACACTTATTTTAGGTGTTGTTGAAATAGGTGTTGTTGAAATAGGTGTTGTTTTGTTTGAGTTGTTGATTATAGTGAATCTGAATATTGTGTGCGCGGAATGAGAAGGGAAAGATGCGTACGGACGGAAACGATATTGCGAATTACAGTAGCGCCTCCTCAGTACTCTACATCTACACCCCGCAGGCCCCTGAGAAACTAAGCGACGGGTATAGAAGCCTCTTAAGGTAAAATAGAGGGTCCACACAAAACAATGTATAGCCGATCCCAAAAACCAAATGAAGGTCAAACGGGTGATTCTTACCTGAACTAAAGCAAAATAACTGAAGGTCAAAATGGTGGAGGGGTTTTGAACGAAAATGTAATTCGATCACATGGCCGATTCTGTGGCGGTGAATGTAGCTTATATGAGCCTCTTTCCTTACAAGGTATAGGTACATGTTAAACATGTTGTGTATAGCATATGTAAAGGAAACAGTGGTATGCATGCGCACAACTCAAGGTCAAAGTAGGCTAGAATCGGCCTTGCTATACAACTGTTGTGTATCACCAATGAAGAAGTGAACGATAAGAGTATTGTGAATGTCAAGGGTAAAATCAGCATAGAACATAAAACACCTAACGGTGCTGGTGAAGTTTCAAACTTGATACGGCAGTAGTGACGCTTAATGGCAACAGATGGATTTAGGTTAGGTTAGGTTAGGTTAAGTTAGGTTAGGTTAGGTTAGGTTTAGGTTAGCATACTGACGAATTATGCAGAAGTCTTAAGTAAAATCTACTCTAACCTAAAAGTTCAATTACATCACACAATAATACTGTGGGGAGGAAAGCTTCAAATGCTGGATTAAGTCAAGAAGAGACGAAAAACATTTATTTATTTTATTGACATATCCTTAGATCTGACAGCATATTACAACAATATTGACGAATCTGGTAAACAGGTCTAACATGAAGAGTTTAACACCACCACCTGTACTGACCCCCCCCCCCATTGTCGCTAAGCACCATTTCACATTTAAATGTCAGCATCTCTAATTTATTTTTATTTTTGGCAATATTATGTTATTCCTTAATAATGTTTCATATATTTTTCACGCTCATAAGCATGTTCTTGTTATTTACTATTGTGGTCGAATCCGGGTTCAGGCATGGATATTTGTAAATGCATAGTTTATTGCGTTCATAGGGCAGCCTTGCCTGAAACCCCGCCCATTTAAAAATAAAGGTCAAAAATAAGTAAAATAAATTATCATTATCATTACAGACGAAAGAAAAATCTGAAGAGGCAGCTGCCCAACTAATGGGCGTAATAAAAAAGTTACTGTTAATAATATCTCGACCAGCACGTCTATTGGAGTGCCTTGAATTTGATCCTGAAGAATTTTATCACTTTCTCGAAGCTGCCGAAGATCATGTAAAATGTTTGCAAGGTATCAAAGCAGACTTACCTCAATATATAATACAAAAGTTGGGTTTGAACAGAGATCCAATTGCCGAATTGCAGCAAGAGCTGCGCGACTGTAATTTACCGTCCATTAATCCGACATCGCAACTTTGTATACCTACGACTTCGACGTGCAAAAAATGGGCAACGAACCCTAACGAACAAGATTTTGAAGTTCTTAAGTTAATTTCGAATGGGGCGTACGGTGCTGTATATTTAGTAAAACATAAGCAAACGAGACAGCGTTTCGCTATGAAAAAAATTAATAAGAATAATTTAATGCTCCGTAATCAAGTTGAGCAGGCTTTTGCCGAACGAGATATATTAAGTTTTGCGGATAATCCTTTTGTAGTGAGTATGTACTGTAGTTTAGAAACGAAGAAGCACCTGTGTTTGGTTATGGAGTACGTTGAAGGAGGGGATTGCGCCAGTTTGATCAAGAATATTGGTCCATTGCCAGCGGATATGGCCAGATTTTACTTTGCCGAAACAGTTCTTGCTGTGGAGTATCTGCACAGCTACGGAATTGTTCACAGGGATCTAAAACCTGATAAGTATGTAATTGCGGAAACTTTGTGTGTCGCTAACACTTTCTTTGTAGTTTGCTCATCACCGCTTTAGGTCACATTAAGTTAACAGATTTTGGTTTAAGTAAAATGGGATTGATGTCATGTGAGATTATGCAATTTTGTATAACTAAGCCTTACTGTGGTTTTCAGTGGCGACCAATTTATATGAGGGGTATATTGATTGTGAAACGCGCCAATTTTCCGACAAACAGGTCTTTGGCACGCCGGAATACATAGCTCCGGAAGTGATACTGAGGCAAGGATACGGAAAACCGGTTGACTGGTGGTCGATGGGTATTATTTTGTACGAATTTCTCATTGGATGCGTGCCATTTTTTGGTGAGACTCCTGAAGAATTGTTTGCTCATACAGTAAATGGTAATTACCACCCCTACATTTACCTCTCTTATAGTGGATGTTTTAGACGACATTGAATGGCCGGATTCTGATGATTGGCAAATACAGGATGAAGCTAAAGATCTCATCACTGTGTTGTTACAACATTCTCCTCGCGACAGATTGGGTACAGGTGGCGCTCACGAAGTAAAAGAGCATGTGTATTTCAAAACCGTCGATTGGAACTCCCTTTTGAGGCATAAAGCGGAATTCGTCCCTCAGCTAGAAAACGACGAAGATACCAGCTACTTTGATAGTAAGTATATTTTATGTTGCAAAATCTCGTATCAATGAATTTAATTCAGCCCGCGTTGATCGCTATAATCACGACTTGGGAGATGATACAGATGATACTGACGATTCTCCAGTATTTGGCTTGTTTTCGTCATGTTCACCACAATATCGTAAAGTGCAAGGTTCGCGTTTGGGTACAAGTATTGATCAAGAACAATCGTCTGAAGCTGTACGAATCACAACGTCTGTCGCCACCACTCCAGATACTCCTGAAATTCCAGATTTCAGAATGCGGTTGAGATGTGGTTTGTTAACGCCAGATAAAGATTATTCAGATATTTTACCACTGGATCACAGAAAGGTGAGTCAAAATTAAAAAATAGAAGCTGTAAAACCTGACTACTGAAACCAATCTTTGACAGTTCATAAGCAAGTCCAATATCATAGACATCTTCACTGTCACCCACATACAATGTTAAAATACATCTCTGTTTGACAATTTAGGAAAAAAGGTGAACAGGGTGAAAATACAGTGTACCACTAATTTTGTTTAACATACTGATGTTACACCCTGTATAAACTTTCCGTATTGTTTTTTTGAATTCTTTTTTTTTAGATATCGTTGGATCTTAACAAAACTGTGAGTACACCCGAGTCATCTCAAACTGACAGTGACGATGTCTCACCGCAAATTCAGAGGAAACGGAAAAGCGGCCACGCGCGTGACATTTTACCGCGCTTTTCAATTTCAGTTGAAGATGAGCACAGCAGGTTTGTATCGGGTAAAGAGGTTTTGCAAAACTCTGTACTTGTATTTGCAGTATTGAAACGGGCACGTCCTCATCTGAAAATAATCGCGAATTATCACCCGTTAGTCGAAATCAACCTCCAGTGGCACCACCAAATAAACATCGTTCTCGGTCTGTTGTGAAAAGCGCATCTGCATCAGGTTTATCTTTAATGATACCCGCAAACGGTAAATATTCGTTTTGTTGATGCGCAATTAAACTAGTCATCTTTTAGATGATTTCCAAACTCCTACTCCTGGCATTCACTCGCCAGGAGGCGGAGGGGGTTCGAGTACGGCGAGTTCGCGAGACACCTCCCCGTGCAGGGAACTCTCACCCCTTGTTACCAGTCTCAAACCGCCTGTGATAATTCGAAGAGGTCCGAAAGGATTCGGTTTTACAGTTCATACGATTCGAGTCTATTATGGCGACACGGATTTCTATACCATGCATCATTTAGTTATGGTAATTTACAATAAAAATATGATATTACGTAAGGCCACCAACCTTTCAAATGCTGAGGTCACAAGGTTTAATTATGTGCTTCAAGAAGGAAAAATATGCTTGGTAAATTAGTTCACTTGAAATACACCTAGTCTGTGCTGCCCCATGCTACGTTGTGCGAATTGGCATCTCGCAGCTCATGAGTAGGTTGATGTTCCTTCACTTGCAGTATTCCACCAGAGTCTACTTCTCCTGTGGGTATCCCCCCTCCCCCGGAAAGTAGGCCGAGGCCACTATGGCTCCTCTCCTACCCCGGAGGTGACTGGGGATTTTTACTGCAGCCAGGTTCCTGGAAATAAATTCGGTTAGTGGTATAATGCTTATTTGTACTCCATTTCCATTATTGTAGATTAATTTACAATTGTTTGTGGTTAGGCTTCTCACTAACTCACCATAGATGTATGGGTCTTGTATGAGCGCAATCGCCACATTGGATGTGGTGGCCTTCTAACACAGCAGGTCGGAGACTGCCTTGCTTTGTTGGAGGTTTGCCTGTAGAAAGGCGATTTTGTCACCTATGATGTTTTCTATGCTGACTCCCTAGGCACTTCGCCACCCTGTGTGAACAGGGATTGACCGGGTCCTGTGGCACTGTACTCCCATCCCACTTGGACATGTCTCCTTGTGTGGCAGCCTGGGATATAGTATCGTTCGGACCAGGTCCTTTTCTTCCCTTTGTCCAAGTTACCTTGTTGTCTCGACTGTGCATGCTTCTGGACGGCTTGAGCCGGTTCTATACCGTGTTGCTTCAGCCAACGGTTCTGTTTCCTTGGAGCAGCGCTCATCTTGGGGAGCGTAACTTTCAGCTGAATTTTGGCCATATAACATTTGAATTTATGCGATTACTTAGTTTTTCTTAAATGGCATTTCAAGATGGACGGAGTCTTGCAAAATCTGTAGAGCAATTGTAGTCCAATGACCAAACTCCGAATCACCTCGTGCGAGAACAACCAGACCCTTAGGAGTTGAAGGAGGTGGTTGGAAACCTACAATTTTTGGAAACTACACACCTAAAGCAAAGAATACTCTTTGCCTAAAGGTGGAACAGGAAAAGGCAGCTTTTATAGATTCTTCAAAGTTGTCATCCGAGTGAGAACCTGACGACAGTTAAACAGCGCTTGGAGGTGCAGAATTCCTGGGCAAAAGTAGGCAGCTGTCAGGAGGAATGGGGTCGTAGGAAGTCCTGGACAAGTAGACAAGATTCTCGAAGTCTAGAAATAGCACCTGAGAAAGTCTATAACTTTTTTTTGAGAAGTCTGATCGAAAAAGTACGAATTGTTTTGGATTCTACGCACCAAAATTAATAAGAAAAAGTGTTTTCCCGAGAAATTTTGGTGCAGTCGATTTTTGGTAAAAAAGGAAGTGTATACACTGCCTTTTTTTTAGGCCCGAAGAAAAAATTGCCTCAGATCGACCCGTAAAAAAAATTTCTTATAGAATGTTGCCTGTAGAATCCATAATTTCAAACAGTTCCAAGATTGGGCTACTAGTTCAAAAGTTACAGCCTTTTGAAATTTCTTTCGAAATTGGTTTCTAGTCTATAACTTTTGATTGAGAAGTCTGATCGAAAAAAGTACGAATTGTTTTGGATTCTACGCACCAAAATTAATAAGAAAAAGTGTTTTCCCGAGAAATTTTGGTGCAGTCGATTTTTGGTAAAAAAGGAAGTGTATACACTGCCTTTTTTTTAGGCCCGAAGAAAAAATTGCCTCAGATCGACCCGTAAAAAAAATTTCTTATAGAATGTTGCCTGTAGAATCCATAATTTCAAACAGTTCCAAGATTGGGCTACTAGTTCAAAAGTTACAGCCTTTTGAAATTTCTTTCGAAATTGGTTTCTAGTCTATAACTTTTGATTGAGAAGTCGGATCGAAAAAGTACGAATTGTTTTGGATTCTACGCACCAAAATTAATAAGAAAAAGCATACTTGCAGCCTCATCTGGACTTTGTGACTTGTGTGAGGCCAAGGTCCCACGGTTGGTAAGCTTAGGGGGGCGCTGGTATTGTATCAAGTTCTTTCATGCAAGTCACACAAGTATTGGAGAAAAGTCGGTCACTTAGTGCATAGCTGCATATGACAGGATGGGTGCTTTTAAAACTGGGAGTTCCCCCGGTTTGGAATTCGCTTACTAGATACTGGTTCACCTACCAATCCTGTAGACGTAACCTGTTCCATCTTAGGCTTAGGTTTTTTAATGAGGTTGAATCCTTTTGGTCTGTGCACTGAATCCAAGGCCTCCCACATCCTCAGGTCCGTGAGTCATGGCCACGGACGACGTGGTGATGCATGGGTGATCTGATGTAAATCAGTACCAGGACGGCGCCGTTCTACCTTGTGCAATGTCCTTGGTCGTGACACGAAAGCCGGAGGAGGTAGCTGGTCCACGATGTTGTATTGAATGGCTCTTAACAGCTTTACCTGCGAGCTTCCCATGTCCACATTAAGCTTGTGTCTCATCCTGCCACCCAGTATAGAGCGACCCTTCGATTCTAGCCCGTGACCTACTATCTCCCCTTCCCGTCCAAATTTTTACCGAATTTTCCTCAAAAGTGAAAAGTCGCTATTGGCTGCACTTTGTCGTCTGTCAGTCACACGTACCTACTACTTCTTCATGACTGAAACGATTTGGGCGATATGGGGCTCATTTGAAAGGGCTTGGTGCAAAGATTCCGTACGTACCGATATTTTTGGTTTTGCCCATGCGCAGTGTCAAAAATTTGGTTTAATGCATGTGCAATGTTAACTTTTTTATTTATGAAGATACTTAAATGACACTTTATATATAAATACTACGAATTTAAGTGAAACTAACGACGTTTTTATTGTGTTGCGCATACGGAGTGTCAAGTTTTTTATTAAAAAGAGCACTTGAATGAAATTTGATACATAGGCACTTGGAATAAAAGCAAATCTAACGCCAGTTTCAACATTTGGTTTTGCGCATGCGCAGTGCCAACTTTCTTATTTACCAATGCATTTAAATTACATTTTTATATTTGTATACGCTTCACAGTTAGGTAGTATCCCAATTCTAAGAAAAGTATTTCAAAAGTTGATATATGTTGTAAAATATGTTATTTTCCAATTGACAATGTATTTGTTGATACTTTTAATTTATACTATATGAAAAACTGACATGTAGAACTACTTGTGTGAAACTTAAAAGACTTCAATAATAGGTCGCGGTTCATTTGAAAGAGAATGGGGGAAGGATCTCTTGCGTAACGGTATTTTTTCCCGGAACCAGCCTTAACATTATTAGGAGGAAAATACGCTCTCGTCATTCATGCTTGCATAATGACATTTTCATTTTGTTGACGTCATAATTTTGTGTATACCATTTCTCCTCTTTTAATTAATTTGTGCCTAGGTCTGATTTTTCACCTCTTAATATCTTTAATCTCCTGAGACATTCCATGGATACCATCATGGTGAACAATGGGACTTAAAAGATTAGCTACTGAAACCCCTCTCCCCTCTCTTCGGTAATTTGGAAGAACGAGTCGGTTTCATGAAACGCATCATTTATATGCTGCACGTTCATAGGACAGACACTATTCCTTTAAACCTTGTGGCATTAGCATTGAAAGGGGAAAACATTTTTGTTTGTGAATTGCAATTGTGTAACCTTCCACAGGCTGTAGATGAAGGGAGTCCCGCGTTTGAAGCAGGTTTAAGACCTGCAGATTTAATAACGCACGTAAATGGGGAAGCTGTACAAGGCTTGTATCACACACAAGTGTTGCAACTCTTGCTTTCTGGCGTCGAGCATGTCAGTTTAAGAGCCACTCCTTTGGAACACACTTCGATTCAAAGCGGAGGGCGCAAAAGGGAACCGGGGCAGAGCAAGCTGGCACGAAGGAGCTTGCATAGACAGAGGAAGCAGAAAAGAGAAAATGACAAAAGAAGGAAAACATCTTTATTCCGAAGAATTAGTAACAAGAGAGCGAGTGCAGAGATTCAACAGGTAAAAGATCTGTCACTTTTATTAGTACTACTGTTCATTGTGCAGATGGCAGCTGGTGTCCAATCACCATTGAGCGTTACTCCCAGCCGCAGCTTTCAGTCGTTCACAAGAAATCCAGATAGCAGTTCCTCTCTTTCCCAAACTTCAATACGCACATCCGTCTCGAATCGTACTAGTCTTTCTCCATCAGATTCCTTTAGCCAACACTCTTCCAGTTCCTCATCTCAAAGCTCGTCCTCAGCTTCTCCCAGCCCCACTCAAATTACAAACAACCGTAACAACAAACAACATTATCAACGTCCATCCACTCTGCATGGTCTAAAACATAAACTGCATTCGACTGGTTGCACAAAAACGTTACATTCGGCTAGTCCTTCATGTCCAAATGTTCCAAACCGACGTAAGTCTGTCGGTCACATTCCGTTATCTCCTTTAGCAAGAACACCTTCGCCTTCACCACTGCCAGCGTCCCCTACTAGATCTCCAAGTCCTCTAGCATTTCCGATAGGTCACCAACCAGGTAGCTCAAATACAACGCAATCGTATAGTCCCAGTGCTGGCAACACACCTATTACAATGGCGTCGAACCAAGCAAAAAAAGGATTTGTGAGACCTAAGGCTGCCGAACCAGGATCTCCTTTGTTACGTAGAGCACTCTCGCCTGATCGCCTCCATCCTCGCAGCGCAGAAAGTAAATGCGCGCTCATATCTCCTTTATGTTCATCTAGTAAATCGCCGGTAGTTAAAACGCAAACTCGCGGCGGCAGTAGCGCAGTATGGAGATCTGCCTCGCAACCGGAACGTGACAAGGATGCAGAGCTTGAGTCGTCCGTTCCGTCGAGCAACGAAATTGTTAGCAGTAGTAATAGTGCATCCGAAAATCGGTTATCGCTGAACTTATCTAGCACCAGTGAGCCCCTTCCACGAATTGCAGAGGAGAAGGATTCACCTACAAACAGCGCTCAAGAGTGTAATAAGTCTGGGCAACTGAATGATAAAAGTTGCGTTAATCCAAAAGGAAGTGATGGAAATACAGAATGTCTCAAAGGCAAATCCTTAGGTGCTAAGGATAATAAATGTGGTAGTAAACTTCCACAAAAATAATAGTAAGACCATGAACCAGAGGTTGGTTGTGCTTTATAGAATTAAAGAGTTGTATTATTTTTGATGCAATATTTATTTTAGCGGTGGGCAATATTAAGTTTAGATATAATGATTGTAATATAATGTGATTAATGAAGTATGTGATTATTTCTCCCGTGTTAACATATTTTATATTTTTAAGTTGACCATGTAACCTCCGTTGCATGAATCTTGTAGTTTTTGTGCCACCTCACAATATATCTGGCTATTTGTGATTTTGAACAGCCCAAATCCCAATTAAATTTCAGGTTTCTTTTAATGCTTTGTGTTTTACAAATCTAAACTCGTGGTGTAGTAATGTAAAACGTGAAGTATATTCAGTTGTAGATCTCACCTTGATTCTAGGAT